CCTCACTGCGTTCGCAAACAGGAACGACCATTTCAGGTGAAGAGGGTAAAAGTAGAAAACGTCGTACATCTTTCACACAAAGTAAATTATCCGAGAATAACCATACAGATTCCAATTCCGTATTGGAATCACCAGATCTGGCAAGGTCCAACCGTAAACCTCCTGAGTTCAAGGGTATTAAAGAAATTCATCACAAGGGAACAACCCGAGCGTTCGCAATATCCGGTAAATACATTATCACCGACTCGGGTCATACTCGGGTGTGGTCAATTGACACAAGTAACAACATTAGTACGATTTCTCATGAGGATACCAAAATAACAAGTCTTTGCTGGCGACCAACACGAAGAATCGAGGATGTTGGTAGGTTTATCTGGGGTGGTGGACAAGACGGTAACATATTCGTCATTGACATCATCCATGGTGGAGAAAAATATCATGAGATGACACGTAGAGCACATAATCATTCGGTGAATTTCATCCTGCGTCATGAATTTCAATTGTGGACCCTTGATGATAGTGGAAAACTTTTAATATGGTCAGAAGAAGAAGATGTTATCTCACTAAGATCAACCCCAAAATCAGTTCAGATAACGGCAAAACAAAATTGTGCTCTCGTAGTTGGTCATCACCTCTGGACGGCTGCTGGAAAGATCATAGAGATTTTTAATCCTCTCGAAGAGAACAGAACATATGTAAAAAAGATAGACATTGGAATCGACGTTGGTAATGTAAAGTGCATGACGCAAACGAGCGATTCTTCATTAGTTTATGTTGGACATGAGGATGGTAAAATTACCGCATGGAGTGTCAAAACGTTTGACCGCGTGTTAACGGTAAAAGTGTCAGTCTATAATATAACATCTATTTTGGGTGTTGGGGATTACCTATGGGTTGGATTTATGACTGGGAAGATATATATATATGATGTCACGACAGAACGTTGGAATGTTGTCAAGGATTGGAAGGCGCATAAATCTCCAGTTATTGAAATGCAAAATGACGAATATGGACTATGGGAAGTAAATCGATTTCAAGTGGCTAGTTGTAGTGCTGAGGGACAAATCAAAGTATGGGACGGTCTGATGGGACAAGATTGGATTGGTAAT